TTTTGAACAGTGGCTACGTACAAACTATTGTTCATTTTCAGCTCCTCTACTGCCGCTGTTAGCTTGTCCAGCCGTCCCTCAATAGATGTCGGTGAAGGGACGACATCTGTGGCTGCAAACAAACCAGGGTGAGGTCCATGATTGTCACTTATCGCCAGAAACTGTTTGGAAAAGGAGAGCATATCATCCAACTGCGGGGTCGGGTTATGTTCAAGAAGTTTATAACGAATGGTATTGGGAAGTCCCTTCATAAATTGTCGGGATAACAAGGCAGAAGTGGCAGCTTTTTCCAAAGTCGGATCCGCCTTTTTCAGCAATTCCTGAAGAGACCACAGAAAAACACTAGGATCCTCACCACTACGCAAAACACGATCTTCAAATTCTCGAAAATAGCCTTCTCGTCCGACAGCAGGACACAAGGCAGTCTGGAGACTGGTTGCTAAATGTGCAAACGTATCTTTTTCATCATCAGATAATGTATGAAAATACGTAGCCGCCAACCCTCGCAAAAATGCCGGCAGCTTTTGCAACTTTTGGTCGTCTGTCCAGCCATTAGCGGAGGCACAACAATTAAATTGGCGAAGCCAATTCGGGAAATCACCAGAATCAAACTTTTCCGGCAAAATGCTACTCGCCATTGCTTTTACCTCTGTCACCAATTTGTTATGACCGGGCAGAACGGACAACAGAAACAGACGTGTCTCTAGTGCATATTCCGATTCTCTAATCTTCGAACAATCACGGTTTTCCAATTTATTGATAAACGTGACATGTCATCACATGACGAGCACAAGCAATACGTCATTAACTAGCATTGCCTAATGACACCATTAGAAAACTCATGATTCTACAGATGTGCCTTCGAACATGACATCACATGCACACATGCACACGTTACAAATGTATAAAAAAAGGTTTCTTGTAAAATCATGTAATGGTAAAATCATGTCATTCTTGTAATGGTTTTTCTGAAATGTTCGCAATGCATGCCGGTCAGTAATGTTTCCGCTAGACCTGGTGATTCCTTGAATGGTTTCTTTGAAACGAGGCCGCTCAAATAAGCTGCATTACATTTGTCGGTTGAAATAACATCTTTGTATGTTGCCATCAAATGCGATTTCCCAAAACAAAGCACAAACTGGCACTGCCGTGCTAGTTGCGAAATGAGATAGAATGCGGAATCTTTTGGTTTCGATGGACAAATCAGACAATGTAAGCACAGCGGCACAAGATAACTGCTCATAGAGCGAAACGGTTACAAAATTTCTGACATGCACACTAAATAAATGATACTACAGCAAACTGTTTTTCATTAAATATCAGTGTTGGATGAAATCGAGACAACTAAACGTGGCTGCCCGATCCCGTGGAGACGAGCCCTGAAACGGTTCGGGGCCCTACTCGCGATCAATATCATTCACGGTGGTGCAGTAATTGTCAAAAAACTAGTTTAGGGAGGCTGAACATGCTAAAAACCAAGAGCAAGGCATTTTTATACGGCTTTAGGTACAGTGCGAAAAAGTCCGGGGGGGGGGGGTTATAGGTCTAAGCACAAACTGGTTATGATCCTTTTCTGGGTCCAAAAGCGGCAAAACCGTGCAAATATTAGCCAAAATCCTCAATCTATAATGAAATAAAGCGCAAAGACGCGGCCACAACGGCAAAACGCGCAGTGACACAAACAGCCAATTAGAAGTAGCTGCATAACAAGTTTTTTATGGTTCTCACTCTGTCTCACAGAACAAGCTGTTGCGTTATTTGAAACCTTCTCTATTGATTACATATTTTCAGAGTTACACATCCATATCCTTAAAGATGTAAACCGTTGCCAATTTACACTGAAAGACGCAAGACACCTGTTGTGCCGAACCGCAATCCGTAGGCCGCATGAGCTGAGCAGATCGGCACTGCGGTGGTAATCGGGGTCGATATCGCCAATTTATGCAGCGTAAACATAGTGCAACAACTCTTTGCGAACATCGTTTCTAGTTGTCGATTTAGAGACATTCTAGTACAACAGAAAAATATATTTCTGTCTCGAAAAAAAACGAAAATCTTGGATACCTATTGAAGAAGAAAAACGATTTTATTTGTTACCATATTAAAAAAAGAAATGAAAAGTTTAAAAATGGATAGCCTGAGGATGGATAAATTTAAAAACAAAGAAAAAGTCCCCGACACGCGACCGTTGCTTTTCAGAAATATAAAATGAATTTCTGAACAGAAAATCCTAAACGAAAAAACTCGAGATTTTTATGAGACACCGCTTCGAAGTAAGGTCATTCCCTTCGAAACACTGCCGCTTAATCAGAGCAATTCAATAAAGAGATCTGAGTGGATTATAATTCGCTTTGAATCAAA